TATATATATATTTATTTATTTATTTGTAAATCGTATGCATCGTGTTTTTCGTTCACGTTTGTTGAATGCGTGGCGACGAAAGTCGCGGCCATACAGTCTCGTCATGTGCTGTCGTTTTCCCATGCAGGAGTATTACAAGAGCGGGCTGATCCGCTGCCCTTCCAGTGTATCAATACCAGAGCTACGCGAGGCATGTGACTACCTGCTTATCCCGTTCGACGCGACGACGGTCAAGTGCCAGAACTTGCGTAAGTCAGCGTTTATTCTTCTTTAGTCGAGAAATCGACGTTGCTGACTAGGTGCCTTGGTCAGACGGAGTGGGGTTGAGAGGTGTGCTGCATTTGTAAGCTATTCCTTGATAAAATTTCGTGTATTTTTTCCTGTTGCAGAGTTACTCGGTGTATTAGTGTACTCGGTGCTTGCTCAGACAAGGTATAATATGTGTAATAAATATACAGTGGTGTGTGCAAACATTTGCAAGTGCAAGTACTTGCGTGTATCCACTTTGTTTGAATCAAATATAATGTTATCTGCAAGTATATTACTCCATATCCAAGTACTATACTCCATATGCAGTATAGTACATCATATTTTTCGCGTACAGATATTTTCGCGAATTCAGACTTGACGGACAATTTCGCGGTTGGTGAATTATTCGGTATTATTCGGTATGAATTATTTGTGTGATGAGTGAAGGCGTAGTGTATGATTTAGATAAGTTTCTTCCGTGTATAAGTTACGACATACATAAGCGCAACCTGAGGTGGGCATCCAACCTGCGGTGAGCACCGAGAGCGCACTCTCTCTTTTCCGCTATTAGTGTTGATAGCGTCTATGTCCCCCACGGTACTATCGGAGGGTACACTGGGTACGATTCGATATATCGGAAAGTACCTCGGGGGTACTATACGATATGTCGCTGCGTACCCTGCATTGTCCCACCGTACCCTGGGTACCCTGTATGTATTTCCGATGTTGTAAAACTAAAATATAAAAGCTAGCTCTTTGTTTAAAAAAAAGGAAAAAGAAAAATATAGTCAAACATAGCATACATTTTTATTGGATTGCGATGTTTTAAGGTTTCTTCTATGTGATGTGGTAACTTGACAGAGTGTATGTTTTATGACATCAGTTGGTTGAAAGTCAATGGGGACAATGCAGGGTACGCAGCGACATATCATATAGTACCCCGAGGTACACCCCAATATATCGAACCGTACCCAGGGTACCCTCCGATAGTATCCTGGGGGACATAGACCCTATCAGCGCTATTAGCAGGCATGAGAATTTCCCGCGGATTTCCGGGTTTTGGTTTTCATTTGAGTCATTCTTGAGATTGATGCAAAAAAAAACGAATAAAAAGTTTAGGGGGTAAGGTGGACTTTTTTGTCAAAATGGACGCCATTTTTAATTTAAACTTCATAAAAAGTCAGGAAAAGTACGTCAAATTTCACACAGAAGTAACGGAATTCCAGATAATTATCGCGGTGTATCTATGTAATGTAAATTAAGGCAAGATTTAAGTTAACCGCCACATAAAACATTGAAATTTTCATAGAAAATGACAAGACTTTGAATTGTTAGTCACGAAATTGGTCTTTTACTAAGAACAGAATGGACTTACAATTTTCCCCAGAATGCATGGAAATGGCCTATATCTGCCCTTCCAAATTTCACAAATTTCCCGTGGAGCATGTCCCCAGACCCCCCTAGCAGGACAGTGTGCTACGCACACTGTTATCGTGCCTTCGACACGAATTGAAATATTTCTTCCAAAAACATCTCAACCTGCTCTCATGCCTGTATTAGTCATTGCTATTTATTCATTGTTATTGATCGTCCGATGTCCTTGTTTATTACCTTGTTGCCGCCCGTATTCCCCTAGCAATCTGCATCTCTATGTCGCAATATGGAACTGTGGTTTCGCAACACTACAATTGTTTGCGCACAATGTGCAGTTGTCTTGCATACATGCCACCTGTATTGAAATGTGATTGTGCCCTAATAGGTTAAGATATAGATTGTGGGGAAAAAATTAAATTCTGCCTTGAAGGGTCAGCTGTTGAAAGCGGGTTTTCATGAAATGTGAACAAGCAGATATGAAATCTCGTTAAAATTATACATGTTGTATGTTGTTACTAATGTCTATACATATCCTCGATTAAAAAATTCCTCAGTTCATACAAGGAATTTTACCAAAAGTTATGTTGGGGGGGGGGGGCATATGTTGTGATATTTACAAATAATTTTAACAAAAATTATACTTATGGTGGGACAAGTGTTTTAAGCATGACTAATGATTGGCACTCTGCAGCAATGTTATGGCATATAGTATTACTAGGCAATGTTACGTAGGAGCGTAACGATACATTGAAATAGTATAATATATTGTGATCCATGTTCCATGCTTTCTGCTACAGGGTCTGCATTGCTCCAAAGCAGTGGGGATCGGCTTACACTGATTGTAGACGAGACGTCGTTTATAGTTGATCCGGCTATATTCACAGCCCATCCTAACACTATGCTTGGCAGGTAAGCCTAGAGCTAGCTTCAATGAAAATGTTACTGGTGCATGAACAGTGGAAACGAATTTTATTGGTCGATGTGGAATAACAAAGATATCCAGGGTTAGTGAATAATTTTATCAAGATTTTATCACATTATGAAAAAGAGATAATTAATAATATACTAAGAAACTTTGTGACTTGTTAAACTTATAATTGTGTTAAAACTCACTAATTACTAGTAATGGGAATCGGTCGGAATTTCATAATCGATTGTCGGTTACCCCCTAGTGATCAATGACAGGTTATATTGTAATAATCGATTAATTCAGTGTGCATGCATGATGTTATTTTATTTGACCTAAAACTAAGAGAGCTAGCCTAGGTTTCCATGGTATTGTTTCATACATTGTTCTGTTGTTCTAATATTGAACAACTTGTGTCTATTTTTCAGAATGTTTAGTTCATCCCTTGAGCACAACTTCACGAGACCTAATGAGCGTGGAGAGTATGAGGTTGCTCGTGGCATCAGTGCAACAGTTTTCAGGGCCATTTTGGTATGGAATAATTTAATCTTATCATCCTTAATTTGTTTACTTTCTTTGATTAGAGCCCTATTTAATGAAAGAGTATGGAAATCTTATGTTTTGGTGCCTACCATTTTTAGCTCACCTTGACATCGTCAAGATGAGCTATTGCCATGGGTCGTCGTTCGTCGTACGTCCGTCCGTCCGTCCGTCCCGTCCGTCAGTCCGTCAACATTTGGCTACGGTCAACGATAACTCGATCAGGAACGTTTGACCCACATGTTTGAAATTGGGTGTAGTTGTTACTGCTATGCTCCCATATTAAACGTCCTATTTTGGAGCACGCCAGTCGACGTACTTTCGAGCCACGGCAATTTTTTGGCAAAAATGGGAATTGCCATTAGTCAGTTCAGGCAGTTCAAGTTCAACGGATTTTGCTAATTTTTGGTATGTGAATGAATAAGT